ATTTTGCTCTGGATCTGGCTGATCTCAAAGTCTTTCCTTGGGGCAAAGCAAACCCTCTTAGTGCCGCAACAAAACCACCCAAGGTCAAGACCAGCCCGGCCCACAGGGGCCACACAGCCACACTTACTTCTTCAGTTTCTCATCCAGCTGCTGCTTATCATTTTCCAAATCCATGATGCTGTCATTGGCCAGCTTCAGGTCTCCTTCAAGCTTCCTCTTAGCTCTCTCAAGGTCCATGCGCAGTTTCTTCTCCTGCTCCAGGGATCCTTCCAGCTACAAGAAACAAGAGCTTGAGTGCCCTGCCAGCCAGGTCTAACTCCACACCTGTGCTGTTCTTGTCTGTGTGCTTACATCGTCCACTTGCTGCTCCAGCTTGATCTTTGCTTTGGTCAGAGTGTTGACTTTGTCCTCTTCTACCTGCAGGTCATCCAGTGTCTGCTGATGGGCCTCTTGGAGGGCTTTCTTCTCTTTGGTCAGCTTGGCAATGGTCTCGTCCAGGGCTGCCATCTCCTCTGTGAGGTTTTTCACCTTTGAGAAGAAGGGAGCAAGTGCAGATAAAATATGTTGTTTAAAACTTTATACCATACAACAAAAGAGACGCCTTTTCTGGAGTGATAGTGACATCTTCTGCCTCAGACCTTGTTTTCAGTGGCATGCTTTTCCTTCTCAACCTTGGCCAGTGTTAGCTCAAGGTCATCAATATCTTTCTTCAGCTCTGAACACTCATCCTCCAGTTTCCTCTTCTTGGCTGTCAGCTCAGCATTAATTTCCTCCTCATCCTCAGCCCTTTCCGTCACCTCCTTAATTTTGGCTTCCAGCTGGATTTTGGTTTTGATGAGCTGGTCACACCTTTCCTCAGCATCAGCCAAGCTGTCTGCTTCCTGGTGGGAAGACACAGGTTATGGTGGGGTGTCACGCTTTGAAGACTCACCATGGCCCTTCCAGAGCCTGTTTACTCAATGTTCAAGTGCCTTGGAGTGAGTGATTTCACTGTTTTCCACTGCACGTTTGTCAGCCTCCTGCATGACTGCACATCAGTCTTTTCCCAGGAACAAACAAAGGGTGATACTCACCGCCTGCACTTGGAGCTGCAGGTCATTTTTCTCCTGCAGTAAGACCACCATTTTCTCCTCCAGCTCCTTCCTCTTGGCCTCAGACTTTGCAAGCTCTTCCTTGGTTTTCTCAAACTCTTGTTTCATGTTGGCCATCTCCTTCTCTGACTCTGCACTCTTCAGCAAGGGCTTGATCTTGAAGAACAGCTTCATCCAGGGCCAGTGCTTGACATTCATGAATGCACGAACGTTGTACTGGATGCAGAAGATGGAGTCCCTGAAATGAAATTCACGTGGCTGTTACATACCTTGGGTTTGATGATTTTGTTTCAATTAGCCAAGTACCATGAGATCATGACATGTGGGTGAGAAATGTCTACCTCCTCTCCACCATTTTCCGATACTCCACTCTCATCAGGAAGCCCCTGCACCTGGCTTGTGTCATGGTCATAATCTCGGCTAGTTTCTCATCTCTCATCTCCTCCAGCAGACCTATCAACCCAGCTTTGAAGAACACCTTCAGAAAGGGAATGTAGCAGCACATGAGTCTCAGGTAGTGCATAACAGCGGCACACAGGGCATGAACGTGGGACTTGTCTGTACCTTAGTGTGACCAAATCTGTACTGGGTGTGGTCCACATCAATGGACCCAAGAAGCTTTTCTGAAGCCTTCTTGCTATCCATGAACTGCCCTTCTGGAATAGCACTTGCATTAAGCACTCTGTATCTGTAGGAGAAAGCAGAACAGCAGTATAAAATCAATCATAACCTCACAACAAAACATGCCTATGTTACTGTGTAGGTTGTTTTGAGGTTTTCTGTTTCAGTGTTTGTTAAAGTCAGGATCTTCATCTTGATCTGAAAGGGGAGACACAGGAGGAGCATTCTCACCTCTGCTTGAAGTCAGCATACAGGACTCTGCTGGGGAATCCTTTCCTGCAAATTCTGATCCCTTCCAGCACTCCGTTGCACCGCAGCTGATGCAGCACCAGCTCATGCTCCATGGCACCTAACAAACACCACCATTAGCGGCTGCCCCATCATTTGATACTCGGGAGAAGAGCCTCTGTGGCTTGAGTTTTCCTCCTTTTGGGTCCCCTTACCAGGTGTTTTAGTTTCATTTGGGATGATGCATCGTACAAAGTGAGGGTGGGTGCTGCGCAGATTGGTCATCAGCTTGTTTAAATTCTCCTGTGAGGGGACAAGGAAAAGTTTGCATCAACAACTGAAAGATCTGCTTTCCTACATCCTTCTCTGTTAAAAGGAAATATACTTTGTTTACAGTGAATCAACAGAATGGTTAGGCTGTTTTATATGGTAATCTTAAAGCCAGCATCTCTGTTTTTTAAGAACTACTCCATTACTTATGAACCCTGCATGATAGCAATATTGACAGTAAGTCCAAAATCTCTGCATGTTAAACATCCTTAACTCCGTGCATTAGCTCAAAGAAATCAACTTCTTTCAATGCCTTATTTAGCTTTAAACGTAGGATACAAAAAAAACCTGAATTACAACATTGCCAAATATTTGAAAGAGTTTTTATATGGTAATAAGAGAATATCATTGCATGTTGAAAAAGAGAAGACAATAGTCCAGCATTTCAATTGAAATAAAATTGACCTCTAGTACATAACCTTTTTCATCCTTTCACTATAGGACTTCAAGGATTATAACATCCCTGTTGACATTTTAGTTTCCATTTCCTCAATTGAAAAAGAGACAAAGTGAGGAAACTGGTACATACCCGGAAGAGAGCTGAGACAGTCTGGAAAGAAGAACCCTTCTTCTTGCCACCCTTCTTGCCACCACCAGCATCTGCAAAAGGAAGAAAAGGAAAAGATATTAAAATACAGATGTTGCCTATTGGAGACTACGGAGCACAGAAGAGCTTTAAATGTTTGGGGTTTGCTTCTTTAGTTCTGTATCAACATTGTCCTACACTGAAAATACAATTATCACAGAGCTGACCTGCATCTGCTCCACCATAGTTGGCAAAGAGTAAGGCCAGGGTCTTCACTGATGATTTCTGGTACAACCCAATGACAGTTTCATTCAGAGGGTCCTTGTTCTTCTCCAGCCAGCCAGTGATGTTGTAGTCCACTGTGCCAGCATAGTGCACCAGAGAGAAGTGGGCCTCAACCTTGCCTTTGGCAGGTTTGGGCTTCTGGAAGTTACTGGATTTGCCCAGATGTTGGTCATAGAGCTTGTTCTTGAAAGAGGTGTCAGTTGCCTTGGGGAACATGCACTCCTCTTCCAGGATGGAGAAGATGCCCATGGGCTAGAATGCATGACAACAGACAAGAAGGAGAAACAGATTCCTTGGTTAGAAAGAGGCTAATTTTAGTACAGAAAGCTGTTAAACAAATCAGAAGACAAGGTTGCTTCTGTTCCTTTCTAGACAATGTGTCACAGAAAATTAACATGTGTTTCTAATTTTTCATCCTTGATGATTCACCTTTACTTATGAATCTGTCAACAGATTGCTGTCAACATCACAAATAACAGAAATGCTGACCACTTTAATAACTGAAATTTAACATTTTACTCCAAACATAAATTATGTATCCCTCTATAACTAGAGAATTTAGATATTAAGAAACATGAACAGGAAGCCACCTTCTCAATGAGCTCAATGCAGGCAGCCAGGTCCATCCCAAAGTCAATGAATGTCCATTCAATTCCCTCCTTCTTGTACTCCTCCTGCTCCAGCACGAACATGTGGTGGTTGAAGAACTGTTGCAGTTTCTCATTGGTGAAGTTGATGCACAGCTGCTCAAAGCTGTTGAACTGCCAAATGTCAAAAAAGATGCAATGTTTTCAAGGTTCAGTCATCACCACAAGGCCTTCCCTGTGTAGTTCTTCTGCTTCATGTGTTTTTCAGTTAATAAAAGACCCCTTCCGTATCTTTTCTCCCAGAAATCTTTCATTGGGACTGTACTTGCCTTCTGAAGAGATAAAAGACTAGTAATTCATTTTAATATAAGTAATGTAATTTTTTTTTTTTAGTTTGTTAGAATTCCATATTATCTTGATACTTTGATTATTATAAGTATCATTTATCCCTTTAGAATCTCTTGATTCTAAAGCAAACTTGCATAATAGCTTCAGCATGCTTTCTCCTATTAGAATAAATTTACAACTTGACTCTGTCTGTCTCTCTCCCAACACTCTGATTATGAAGACTGCCACAATTTGCCACTCAAATATTTTAATGTTCTAAAGAGAGTAGCTTTAGATATTTCCATGCAGTGGTATAGAAAATTTTGGGGTCCTTTCACCAACACCATGAGGTGTTTGTAATACCTTTCTATAATTTCCACCAATAGCAATGGACATTTCTAGTCTCTTTGAATATTTTCCAGACCTTTGGCCCATATAACTTTGTCACAGATTTCTTGCTTTTTATTGTTTGTTTGTTTTAACTAAGCCTCTTCCATACTGTGGTATTAAATTCTTTCCTGTGAAGATCTAATGGCTGAAAAGGCCAATCTCTTTAATCTCTTGGTCATTGAATTTTATTTTTTTAAAATATCTTTCTCCATGAAAGAAGCCTTAGAGTTTTCTTAACACCAGTTGTCCCTTCTGTGAAACTGTTGTGAAATCCTTGTTCCTTACATCAAAGATCTCAAAGCCAGCAATGTCCAGGACACCAATGAAGTACTGTCTGGGCTGCTTAGTATCCAGCTGTTGGTTGATACGAACAACCATCCACAGGAACATCCTCTCATAGACAGCCTTTGCCAGAGCACCCACTGCATTGTTCACCTGAAGCAAAAGGGAAACATGCAAAAATTAATACACAGAGAAGTGGTAGGGAATTTCAACTGTCAGAAGAGAAAATCTGGGGTATAGCCATGTATTCCTGTTAACCAAGTATTTTACCTGCTCCACAGTTTGACCTTTGGTCACGTATTCATTCCCAACTTTGACTCGAGGATAACACAGGGCCTTGAGCAGGTCTGCTGAGTTCAGACCCATCAGGTAGGCAGCCTTGTCAGCAACTGAAAGACAAGAGAGACAAAGAAAAATCTGATCATTGGACAAGGACTGGAATTTGATCAATGGGTCTGGGTCAGAAAAGTCACCAATGTTAAAAATTCTTGACTGCAAAGCTTTTACTCCACTATGACAGGAAGCACACTGAATACAGGGCACCTTTATAGCCAATATTAACATTTTTTTATAATAGTTATGAAGAAGAAACTTTTCCTTGAAAACTTTGATGGAATTTAAAAAATTAAACACTGCTTTTAATAACTTTCAGTTTAAAAATACATGAAGATTACAACTTGGCACCTTACTCAAGATCTAAGACAGCTCTTCTATTTAAATACGCTATGGTTTGCACTGCCAGCCATAGACATGTGTACATGCCAGAGCTGACTCAGGCGCTTATGTATAAAACTAGAGAAGTTACCTCTTCAAAAAAGCTTGTCAGTACCCTCTGCATGCTGAATGGAAAAATGCATATAACTACCCCATGAAAAGGAAACCTGAAGGATCAGAGAATCAGATTTACAGCCTGATGGAGCCTACAAGAAACATTACTTGGTTGTCACTTGCTTAACCTATAGTCTTTGTCTTGTCTAAAGGAAGTATCTTTTCAAAACTTATTTATTTATTAAAAGGTCACTTGCTAACGACCTTCTGTGCCATCAGGCTCTGCCTGCTCCTCTCGTTGCTTCTGCTTGAACTTCAGGTTGCCATAGTGCATGACAGCCCCTGTCAGCTTGTAGATGGCTGTTTTCTCATCAGCAGTGAAGCCCAGGATGTCAATGGCACTCTGAGAAAAGAATCATGAGAGGGAGGGCTGGGCCTGTGAAAGGTCAGAGCCACCTAAGAAAGCCCGTGAGCGTGACTTACAT